ACGAAGACGACGTGCAGTTGCTGCTGTAGCTGTTGCTTGTACTGCACTTGCTGTTGCTGCTGCTGCTGCTGTAACTGCTACTGCTGCATCTGCTGCTGCTGCAGCTGCACGTGCGAAGCCCAGTTTGCTGTTTGCTTCTCAGCATTATTATTTATTATTATTATTTCTTATTATTTCTTATTATTATTATTAATTATTATTAATTAATAATAATTATTGCTAATGATTAACAATTATTGTTTTATTATTATTATTATTAGTTATTTCTGTTCTTATTGCTATTATTATTCTATGCAATTATTATTATCTCTGAGAGACAAGAGAGAGAGACAGAGAGACAGACAGAGGGAGAGACAGCTTCAGCAGCAGCAGCGGCAGCAACAGCAGCAACAGCAGCAGCAGCAGCAGCAAACAGCATGGAGACAAAAGAATAAGAAGAAAGGAGACAAATAAAAGCAAAAGAAAAAGAAAGCGATAAAACCACCTCTGTCTCTTCATCCTTCTGAACAAGTAAATAAATAAATAAATAAATTAAATAAATTAATAAATAAATAAATAAATAAATAAAAGAAACAACAGAACAAACAAAGAGACGCATTTATAAAGGAGACAGCTTTAATAAAGGAGACAGGAGACAGCTTTAATAAAGGAGACAGCTTTATATATAATAATACATAGTAAAGGAGACAGCTTTATACATAATAATATATAATAAAAGAGACAGCCCTATATATAATAATATATAATAAAAGAGACAGCCCTATATATAATAATATATAATAAAAGAGACAGCGTTAACAAAGGAGACAGGCGTTTGCTCGAGTTGTCTCTGGGGAGGAGACAAATAATAAAAACCCCAGCGACCTCTACTGCATTATATATTGATAGAATATATATATATATATACATGCATATATATGTATATATATATATATATATATATTCATATATATCTAAATATAGACGCATCTACACGTATATATATACATATATATACATATATATACATATACATATATATATGCATATATATACATATATATACATATAAATATTATATATATATACAAATATATTATATATATGTATATATACAAGAAATGCTTACACCGCAGCTGTTGACGCCCTCACGGCTTTACGCGGTTTTGCTGCAGCATCCTGTTCAGGTGTATAGGCAGCTATTAATAATAGAAGAATAAAGCAAGCATTAAGTACATATATGTATATATATATTAATTGTATATATATTAATTATATATTTTATATATACGTAATGCATTGGCTTAGAAGACCCCCGTGTATTGCTGCTGCTGCTGCTGCACTTTTTTCAACTTGATGCTAAGAGAAGCAGCAGCAACACTCGTTGCTGCTGCTGCTGCTGCTGCTGTTGCTTTCTGCTGCTGCTGCTGCTGAAGCAGCATGAGTCGGAGCTGCTTAATGTTGGCGTTTCCTGCTGCTGCGGCTGCAGCATCGGAAGGTCCTAGCTTGCTTCTGCTGCTGCTGCAGCAGCAGCAGCAGCAGCTCACTGTTTGTTCCTGCTGCTGCTGCTGCTGCTGCTGTTTTTCCTATGATTAACAACGATCCCCATAAAGCGATCCCGCGCCCACCTCAAAGCCTGCACCCCACTTCTTCTTTTATCTCCTCGCCTCTCCCCAGGCCCGCAGATGCTGCTTTCAACACAACCAAACAAAGGGGCCCCAGGGGGGCCCCCTGGGGGCCCCCCAGAGGGGCAGGGGCCCCCCTGGGGGCCCCCACTTGATACCACTCCGCTTGTGCCTCGAGAAACGGCTTTAGAAGAACCCCAAGAGGGGCCCCCAGAAGGGCCCCCAGAGGGGCCCCCAGAGGGGCCCACATAGGGGCCCCCAGAGGGGCCCCCAGAGGGGCCCCTAGAGAGGCCTCTAGAGGGGCCCCCTAAGAGAGATTTGGCTGAGGGTACAGCTGTAAAGGGCTGTATTTTTGCAGATTTGTTTATCTCCTTATAGGGAGACAATGTAGAGGAAGAGGCCTTTAGGGGCCCCCCTTCTAAGAGTGATACTTGAGGGGCCCTTTGGGGGCCCCCCTCACGCGAAGAGGGTTGAAGGGTAACTGGAGGGGCCCCCAAGGGGGCCCCCAGGGGGCCCCCCAGTGCTGGTTTTGTTTCTATGGTGTTGTAAGAAGGTGATAATGCCTCTCTGCTTAAATAGAAGACAGGAGATAGGGGCCCCTCCTCCTCTGTGTCTCCTTTGAACTCTTTTAAAGCCCTACTTAACGCAGTGCTGCTGGGGGGCCCCAGATTTATATAGGTATTGTCTTTAGGGTCTACACACTCACTCAAGGGGCCCCCAAGGTTGGGGGCCCCCCTCACATCGGGGGCCCCTCCGAGGCCGCCTAGGGGGCCCCCCCCAGCTAAGACCCCTACAGGGGCCCCTAGGGGGGCCCCTAAGGGGGCCCCCAAAGGGGGGCCCCCTAAGGGGGCCCCCCCTATGGGGGCCCCCATCTCCTCCGGCAGCAGTTGTCTCTTGCATGCAGCAAGTATAGCAGAAAACACCTCAATAGAGGCTTCAAGACGCTTGAGAGCAGCAGCAACTTCTCTTATTGTGTCTGTAGAGTTGAGGGGAGAGGGGGGCCCTGGGGGCCCCCTAAGGGGCCCCCTAAGGGGCCCCTGCTGCAGCAAAGTTCTAGCAATGACCTCAGAACACTCGTGAAGGCGAGCAGATAGCTGCTGCAGCGCGTAAAGCTGACAGTCCCCGCTGCTGCTGCTGCTGCTGCTGCTGCTGCTGGTGATTGAAGTGTGCGTGCAGATCAGACGAGAGGAGAGCAGCAGCTCAACCTCTTCTTTGCTTTCTTCTCTTGTCTGGTCCCTAGTCTCTGCGACAGCAGCAGCAGCAGCAGCAGCTGCTGCTGCTGCTGCAGCCGCCGCAGCAGTAACGACACCCTCTTCCCCCTCCACCTTCCCCTTTGCCTTACTACTGCTACTGCTGCTGCTGCTGCTGCTGCTGCTGCTGGGTAGAGCACCAGGCTTAGAGAAGGAGGTAAGGGGCCCCTCTGCTGTCTCTGCAGCCGCACTGCGTATGCTGCGCTCACCTGAGGCCCCCTCTAGGGCCCCCTCCCCCTTAAGGTTATGGATTGCTTCGGCTGCACTGGGGGTGAGGGGCCCCCGCTGCATATCGGCTTCTGCTGCTGCTGCTGCTGCTGCTGCTGCTGCTGCTGCTGCTGCTGCGCTGCTGCTGCTAGGGGCAGAAGCTGCTGCTGGGCTATTAGTGTGAATACCTGGTTGGGGGGGCCCCCCTAAGCTGCATTTGATAAGATCATCGAGAGCAAGAAGAGAAGGAGGTACCTCAAAGTGTTTGCTGCTGCTCTCAGCAGCAACAAGACAGCAATTGCTGCTGCGCCCCCCCCCTACTGCTAAAGCCCTGCCTACAGCTTCACTGAACTTCTCTAATTGCTGACGTCCAGAGATAGAACAGGGGCCCCCAATGGGGGCCCCTGGGGGCCCCCCGGGGGCCCCCTGATCTACAGAAAGGCTTTGATAAGGAGTTGGGCACAGCAACTCCATATCATCTGCTGAGGTAGGGGGCCCCCAGGGGCCCCAGGGGCCCCCAAGGGGGGGGCCCCCTTTATCTCTGGGGCTTGCACTGGGGGCCCCCACATCTGTCTCTGTCTCTGCTTCCTGCATTGAGGCAGGGATACTTGCTGCGGCTGTTTGTACAGGGAGAGGAGGGCTACAGGAAGGGGGCCTGCCTAATAAAGCACTGTGAGGGTCAAGCTTCGGCAGACGTGCAGGCGGCTGAAGAGGGACACCAGCTTCTCGCTGCACTGCAGAGGCCCTCGATATAAAGCTTTCCCCCACGCAGCAAGAAGCAGAAGGGGCCCCTTCTTCTCGTGCTGCTGCTGCTGCTGCTGCTGCTGCGGGTGCTGCTGCTGCTGCGGGGATTGGTGTTAACATAGAGGCTTCTGCAGTCAGGGAACTCTCGATATTACCCATGGTGAGTTAGAGCAGCAGCAAACAAAAGAAAAAAAAGAAGAAGCAGCAGCTGCTGCACTGCCGCCTGAGGGCGAGGAGCAGCAGCTAAGGGAGCGGTGTTGAGGGGTTAGAGACAAGAAATAAAAATTAATTAGATAGTTTCATTTAATTGAATTTATTAGAAATTAATACGGGTAAAGAAAACCTGTAAAAGGATATTTAATGCTCTTCTACCGACGACTGACACCCGAGCTGCGTATACACCCCAAGGGGGGGAGGGAAGGAGGCGTTGCTCAGCGCATATGAAGAAGAATAACTCCCCTAAAACAAATATAATAATAAAACAAAGACAAATAAAACAATAAATACAAAGAAATAAAGAAATAATTCTAAAAACGCCTCCGCTTGCCCGCTGGTGCTGTGCTGGTCTTTCACCGCAGCTGTTGCTGCAGCAGCAGCAGCTGCTGCTGCTCTTTCTCATAGAAATCCTCCTTAAAAATATATTTACTTAAATAAACATATATATTTTTGTTTATTTTTGCCTATTTAAAAACAATTATAAAGATTTATGAAGAGGCAGACATAGAAAAAAGAAACGCTCAGCGCTCTCGTCCCCCATCGCCGTCCAGCGAGCTGCAGATACACCAGAATTTTTAAATCAAATATTATGCATTTAAATACAATAATTAAATTTGTTTATTTTTCATTCATTTTAAACTTATTTTCTTCTTTTTTCATTGATCTTCTTGAGGTAGTCTGGCCCCACAACCTCCACATACAACAACGGTCACCTGTCTGTACACCCCGCTGCTGCTAGCAAATCTTTCGTGCAAAATGTTTGTCTTCTCGTTTTAATATGAACAAACATAAATAAAAATAAAATAAAAGTAAAAGAATGGAGTAGGAGTACTATTACGAAGGGGTTTGTTCACATATATATATAATATACATATTATTGTCTGCCTTCTTCATTTTGTTAGCTAAAAGATATATTAAAACGCAAATAAAGGCATTTAAAAAGCATAAGAGAAAAAAAGATGGGCCAAAACACCTAAAGAGGGACATGGAAGCTAAAAACAAAATATCTAATAAATGAAAGTGCAGCAACAGCAGCAGCAGGAGCAGCAGCAGCAACAGCAGCAACAGCAGCTGCAACTGCACGTAGAGTATATGCAGGAACATCAGCAGCAACAGCAGAGAGAACAGCAACAACAGCGGCAGCAACTGCAGCAGCAAGGACCCTGAAGGCCCGCACAGACTTTGCTTAGAGGCGCATCTCTGATATACAAAACCCTACACTCTGAACCCTGAACCCTAAACCCTAAACCCTAAACACTAAACCCTAAACCCTTGAACTATATTCCCTAAACCATAATCTAAAAGTAATTGTCTTTGCGCTTAGGCATCCACTCGGCTCTAATCGTACAGACGAAAGAGGATGTTGACACCTAAACCCTAAACCCTAAACCCTGAACGCTAAACCCTAAACCCTAAATCCTAAATCCTAAACTGCAAACCCCTAACCTATTTTTACTGAATGTTCTGTGATGGTTGGGCTACAGGAAGAAAAGGCGGATTCTTGGGTGCTTTAAAACCCTAAACCCTAAACCCTAAACCCTAGGCCCTGCATCCTAAGGCCTGAGGTCTATGCCCTAAACCCTAAACCCTAAACCCTAAACCCTAAAACTTTCGCTACAGACCCGTTGAGTTGACCCCCGAGGAATAGGGATAGTTTAAAGAGGCCTTTTTAATTTGTTTAGTGCTGCTCTTATTGGTTCTGCTCCCCAAACAATAAAAAAGAAATAAACAACTAGCTAAAAACTAGCTACCTCCAGCTACAGCTAGCTGCAGCTAGCTACAGCTAGCTACAACTAGGTACATTTTGCTGCAGCTAGCTACAACTAGATACAGCTAGCTACAGGTAGCTGCAGCTAGCTGTAGCTAGCTAGTTGTTAGCTAGCTAACAACTAGCTAACCACTAGGTAGCTAACAAGTAGCTAGCGAAGAACCAGGTAAGAACTAGCTAGCCTACAACTAGCTAGCTGTCAAGTAGCTGCAGCTAGCTGTAGCTAGCTAGCTGTAGCTAGCTAGTTGTATTGTCTCCAGAGATAGTTAGCGTTTAAAGAATCTGTCTCCTCTCTTTGTGGGGTCCTTCAAGGGGGCCTTAGTCTTCGTGCTGCTTCAATAAAGGCCCGAAGGGGCCCCCACAGAGACAAAAAATAAGAAAGAGACAGAGAATAAGAAAGAGACAGAGACAGACAGAGAGACAGAGACAGAGACGGAGAAACAGAGACAGAGACGGAGACAGAGACAGAGAAACAGAGAGACAGAGACAGCGAGACAGAGAGACAGAGAGACAGAGACAGAGACAGAGACACGGAGACAGAGACAGAGACAGAGAGACAGAGACGGAGACAGAGACAGAGACGGAGACGGAGACAGAGAGACAGAGACAGATACAGACAGAGAGACTAAAACAGAGGGGTAGCTAGGTATAGCTACTTACACCTAGTTATAGCTAGCTACAGCTAGCTAGAGCTAGCTACAGCTAGCTATGACGAGTTGGGCCAGGAGGACTCTTCGTTGTACAAGCCTCTTCATCAGAAGAACAGAATATATAGACTCTAACCCTAAACCCTAAACCCTAAACCCTAGTCTGTCAAGATTTGTCTCTAAAGGCTTAAGCACCTCCCCTTAAGACTTAAATACATCGATAGGAAACATCAATAATAAGAGCAGGGGCAGCTACAGGGCCCCTACTGGGGGCCCCCTAAGGGGGCCCCTCAAGGGGGGGCCCTCGGAGGGGGCCCCCTATGGGGGGCCCCTCATGGGGGGCCCCCACGGGGGCCCCCGTACCCTAGTAGCAGCCCCCGAGGAGACAGAGGAACGGGTTTGTTGTTGAGTCTTTTGATTGAAATAAAATAAAAATAAAATAAATATATTATTTTTGTATTTTTATTTTAAATTAAAGCAAAAGAGGGCAGCAGACAAACCCGATAACTGCTGACTCGGGTGTATGAATATATAGGGGCCCTTATAAGGGGCCCCTAAAACCTTCAAACCCTAAACCCTAAACCCTAAACCCTAAACCCCGGTTCTATCATTAAATATCTCTAAATGATTGGGGGGTACCGTGGGGTTGGGGGCCCCTCCCTTTTTACTGTTTTATCTCGTGCAACAGCAGGGCCTCCCTTCGCTACCCTCCAGCCTCTAGGGGCCCCCATAGGGGCCCCTATAGGGGCCCCCAGAGGGGCCCCTGGAGGGCCCCCTTTGGGGCCCCCATTAGGTTTAAGAGCACGGGGTTACCTGGGGGGCCCCCATTGGGGGCCCTCCCTTCGTGTGGGGCCCCACACTTGCCGGCCTGTCGCTGCTCTTACATTTTCTACCTCTTCTAAATCTGTACAATTACCTAATGACCTCAATAAGCCGCAAAGGGGGGCCCCCCAGCCTGCAACTAGCAGCCCTAGGGCCCCTCCTGAATCTGTTATAGTGGGTAAAGAAGAAGAAGGGGGGGCCCCTAGGGGCCCCCAAGTGGCCCCCCAAGGAGCCCCCCAAGGAGGCCCCCAAGGGGCCCCCCAAGGAGGCCCCAAAGGGGGGCCCCAAGGGGGCCCCCAAAGGGGCCCCCAAAGGGGCCCCTGGTGGGCGCCCTATTTGTCTCTTATGCGAGTGCATGCACCTGTGGGGAGTTGGCTGCTGTTCTGGCCTTGCGCGTTTTCTGTATGTCTTGCTACTCCTGTAACTGATGCCTCAGCAACAGCAGCAGCAGCAGCTGCTGCTGCTGCACTTCCTTCTGTTGCTTCATTAATTGCTGCTGCTCTCTTCACGGCTAAAGCAGCAGACAACCACCAAGACAACAAACAGCAGCAGCAGCAAGAAGAGCAGCAGCAACAACAGCAGCAACAGCAGCAAGCTCAAGAGCAGTACGATCTGCTGCAGCCGCTGCTTCCCCTTCAACAGCAGCAGCAGCAGCAGCAGCAGCAGCAGCAGCAGCAGCAGCAGCAGCAGCAGCAGCAGCATGAAGGTGCGAAATTGTGCATCAGTGCTTGGCTTAACTCAGTAAAAGTTTTAGGGTTATGTTTAGTTGGGGCCTTCTTAATGCGCAGCGCGGGGTGTATAGTTAACGATCTGTGGGATAGACATATAGATGCATTAGTAGAACGAACAAAAGCAAGGCCCCTTGCATGCGGCGTAGTAAGCCTTAGGGGGGCCCTAGGGGCCCTTAGTTTGCTGCTAATACCCTCACTAGCTGTGCTGCTCTCTTTTAATTATTTTACTGTCTCCTTGGGTCTCCTTTCAATCCTTCCAGCTGCTCTTTATCCTGCAGCAAAAAGATTTTACTCTATACCTCAGCTTGTCTTAGGGATGACCTTTAGCTGGGGGGCCCTCTTAGGTTTTGCTGCTGTCTTGGGGCCCTATGCTTTTATTAATCTTCGCTCAGCAGCACAAGGGGGCCCCCCCAATCCACCTGCTTCTCCTGCAGCAACAGCAGCAGCAGCAGCAGCAGCAGCAGCAGATCATACTGATGATGCTTTTGCTCTGCTTCCTGATGCTGCAGCAGACGATGCAACAGCAACAGCAACAGCAGCAACAGCAACAGCAGCAACAGCAGCAACAGCAGCAGCAGCAGCAACAGCAGCAGCAGCAGCAGCAGGATCCCGTTGGGGGACGTTGTGTGAGTTGTCTCCTTTTAGTATTTGTTTGCAGTCGCCTCTGCAAGTTAAGCTGTCTCCTTTTTGTTTATATTTAGGGTGTGCACTGTGGACTCTGGTGTATGATACTCTTTATTCTTTTCAAGATATAGCTGACGATAAAAAGATTAATGTTCGGTCTGCTGCTGTTGCTTGGGGGCCTCAAACAGCAAGGGTTTGCTGCTCTGCTGCAGTAGCAGCACAGGGCCTATTGTGGGGTCTCGCAGGGGCCCCCCTTGCTGCACCTTCTTATTACTATGCTGGTGTTTGCTGCTGCTGCACTTTGCTGCTTCGTCTTGTGTGGAGGACAAATCTAAACAGCCCTGCTGCATGCGGCCAAGCCTTTAAAGCTGCTGCTGCTGTGGGGCCCATACTAACTATTTCTATTCTATGCAGCAAGCTTGCAGAAGCTGCTGCTGCTATCTAGGGGGGCCCCCAGACACTCTACGGGGGCCCCTGCTTCACCAGCACCTCCTCCACCAGCTGAAGCAGCACCTGCTGCAGCACCTGGTGCAGGGGCTGCAGGTGCAGCAGCAAAAGCAGGAGCAGCAGCAGCAGCAGCAGCACCTGTCCCTGCTTTTCAGGAGCAGCTGCAGCAGGCGCAGCAGCAGCTGCGGCAGCTGCAGCAGCAACAGCTGCGGCAGCTGCAGCAGCAGCAGCTGCTACTACATCTCCCTTGCTGCTGATGACAGGCAGAGGGGGGCCTCTCTTCCTAGGGGCCCCCTTCTCCTCTGCATATAAGCAGAGCTTTTTAGGGTCTACAACCAAAGGTTTAGGGTTTAAGGGTTTAGGGTTTGAGGGTTTAGTGTTTGAGGGTTAAGGGTTAAAGGGTTTAGGAGCTAGAAGGGCTTAAAGATTAGGGTTTAAGGGATTAGGAGGGTTTAGGGGTTTATAAGGGTTTAGGGTTTGCGAGCGTTAGGAGGGTGTAAGGCTTTGGAGATAAAGGGCTTACGAGGGTTTAGGGTTTAGGGTTTACGGGGGACTGTAAGCGGTGTGGGGTGTTGTTAGGGTAGCCCCCTTCTCAAGCAAGAAAATAAACCCTAAACCCTAAACCCTGAACTCTACAGCCTAACACTCTAAACCCGAGACCCTAAACCCTAAACCCTTTTAAGGCCTCAGCAACGCACTGACGGCAGCCGCTGGCGAAGGGTTTAGGGTTTAGGGCCCTAGCAAACATCTATATGTAGAATAAAAATATATATATATATATATATATATATATTTTTATTCTTCTATATAATATACGAAGTAGACATTCTCTTCTATATATTTTAGATACATCTGATGTATATTAAGAAATACGAATTGTTATGCATCAAACCCTAAACCCTAAACCCTAAACCCTAAACCCTAAACCCTAAACCCTATA